AACTTCACAGTCAAAAAGTGGAGCTTTTACTGCTTTTCTGTGAAAAGGCCTCTGTGGCAGGGTCAAGCTAGATGGTTAAAGGCGAGTAATAGAAGGCAAGTATATTGGCCCCAGATTAAATAAGGGCTGATACAGAATAGTCAGGAACTTGCCAGAATCAATTAAGTCAGTTGGAGTTAATTAGAAAGTTCCCAGATTCAAATGAGGCAGATTAATCAGGAAACCTAGAACCAATGAAGAGCCAATTGAGACTGGTCAAAAAAGGGCTCCTCTTCAGTTAGCTCATTGTGCACAAGGAATGGGGGAAAGAAGGTGTTGGGGAAGGCCTGGGAGAAATACGCACAAGCAGGTACCAGGAGGAAGAGCCTGTGGTAAAGAAGATGCTAGGGAGGGCTAAAGTGGCCCAGGGAATCATAGCTGTTACCCAGGTGAGAGTGGAGATGTTGCAGGCAGCTGCTTTCACAGAATCCCGGGGCTATGACCCAGAGAAGAGGGCAGGCCCAGGTTCTTCCCCACCCCCATCCCCTACTTCTTATTCAGTACAGGAGGACTAATTTTGGTAAAGGGGGTCTATCCTGCTCCAAATCACTTGGAGGAGCAGCGGAGACTACGGAGTTCGGTCTCCGCTCTTTTCCTCATGCTGGCCATTGATGAGGGTAGCTCAGTCACCTGGCAAGCTTGTGCCTTAGAGACAGAGTCTAAACTGAGGGTTGCCATGAGCCTCTGAGGCAAGCAGTCTGCCTTAAAGTGCAGGACCTACCAAGGCACAGGAGAAGCTTTGTCACACCATGTTTGCGAGTTTGTCTAAGGTTGAACCTTTCCCACCACACTGAATGGTTGGGAAGGATCTGCCATAAAAGTATATCCATGCATATAAACAGAAGAAAAAATGTAATCGGATGAGTTCATTGGCGGTTTTGTGCTCTTTATGTGGTTCTTTTTTTTTTATCAGCGGGAAACCTTTTTAAGATTTAATTATATCTGGCCTTTTCATGACATGAACAAGAGGTCCAGCAGACATGTGCTCCAGGCCCAAGAAGCATGAACATATGGCAGTGCTGAGCACTGTAATGTTAGTCAATTTCATCTCTCCTGTTTGTCACAGATCTTTGGTCGCATTATCCCAACTGCTTTTGAAAGTTCTTCATCATTATGCAAAGTGACATCACCACTCTATGGCATCTGAATCCAGTCTCCTCTTGTGACTTCAAAAACTGAAAGCCCGTTCTCAGGTTATATCTAAATTCCATACATAACCTAAGGATGTATATGGGGATTGAAGCTTTGTAGGCCATGGCCAACAGAAAACCCCAAGACATGGAGGGCTGGGAAATAGATATCATGCATCCATATTTTGTAATTAATTTACCCCCAAATCTTGATGTTATCTAGCTGTTCAATTTACTGTCCAATTAACCTGAGAAACTGGACTGAAATGCTTGAAATAGTTGTTAGGTTTAAAAAAAATTGAGCCATGAGAATATATTTTAACATTAGCAGTTCTTCCTGGCTCTAGGGCTCCTCTCCTTGCCACACATACTGTAACCAGTCAGCAAACTTCAAAGCCAGTGTAAGGTCAAAGGCGGCATGGCAGGATGTATTAAAATCAAGAGTTCCCAGATCAGTATTGGTTCTTGGATGTGGACTACAATGTATGATGACACTATAGAACCTAGACTAAGCTAACTACTTTGAGAGATTAATGATTCAGCGCTATACCAGACTGGAGAGCTATGTGATGTGCGGTTTCTTTTTTCTTAACTATGGTGATTTAAAGGGCAGAAGACATAAACATGACTGCAGTATATTGTAGTGCAACTTTCTTTACTAGAACCACTGACTGGTAGATGTCTCCTAATACTGCTGAACAATGCAGCCGGTAATGAAATCTTTCTTGGAGTAGTGACAGGAAACAAACTCTTTTCCCCTCAAATGTAGCCTTAGCTATGAAATATTTATAACACAGTATATACAGTACAGCATCCAAGGAAGACAATAGGAAATAAGCAATGATCATTTGAATTGGTTGGTTTTGTTCTTATTTCCAAATTTCATTGACCTATGTACCTCCATTTTATTCCATTTCCAAGCCCCAGGACTGTCTTTGTTCCAAGAATGTGATTCCAGGTAGTGAGTGCCTGTTTTATGTTGGTAAAAAAGATTACTTTGAGCCACACTTTATTATGATTTAATAGTGGTTGTCTCATCTCCTCCTAACAAGTCAGAGTGAAAAGCTCACTCATCGATCTTTGTTTGAGCTTAACAAAAGAAAAAGAGTGTCTGGCAGAAGTTACAGAACACCAGATGCAATAATTATTGTGAATCCACCTGCATTTGTCCCGGAATTATCTCTGGGTACTGTAATGACAAAAATAATTCTTGCAAAAAACGGTACCTAACCTACATTCACAAAACAGTATGCACACAAAGAGCACACAGATAGTTGTAAGTGTAACAGTATCCCATGCCCTGTTTACATGTGCGGCTGCATATTTTTGCCTGGTTTGCTTCTCAAATAGAATTAGAGAACAGGAGAAAAATATTTCTGATTTTTAAATGATTTTGTTTGCATTGTGTTCCTATCCCATTTTGCTTTTGTGTTCTACACACATTCTAGTGAATGAGTTTACTGACAGGAATATCCCTACAAACCATATATTTTAAATTTACTTTGGAAAATATTCATGGAAAGCTAACTATAAAGTTAGCTTCCAAATTTGCATGTGACATTTATTTCTCGGGACATGCTAACTAATCAAGGAAAAAGAAAAAAAGTATAACTTAAGTGACCAAACACAGAGCTTGAATTTTGAATGGCAAACATTGCATACTTACCACAAACTGGCCAATACTAACATTGACTCTGACTCAGAGGACATCATGCCATCTATTGGGTCACCTTCATCATTCCCTGTAGCATATACCTGTTCTTTTAGGCCCCCCTCCAACTATTGGCCAAGCTTAAATTGGTATGAGTACTTATAGTAGCAACATGAAAAAAATGTTTATAATTAATTAATGAAAGTAACTAACTTTTCAGAAACTCAATAAGGTGTCATTTGGATTTTGACAAAAGTTTCAGGTAGTTCACTTTTTTTTTTTTTTTTGCCAAACAAGAAACCTCATGACTTGCTTGGTTCATCACCATTGTTCTGAAAAAGAAGAGATTATTCAAATTAAGTGCAACTCCATTAAGTATTTTGTGTTTCATTTAACGTTTCAACTGCTTTCAAAATGTTTTTTGTTCCTAATTTCAGAAGAGCTTAGTCAATATTCAGCTCTAACTATTTTCAAAATATCAGTTTAATAAAGCAGATTTATTGCTGGAAACTGGGTGGAAATATTCACACACCTTTCTTCCTTCCAACAGTCAAAACCATGTGCCAATGTTTTTGATGAACTTTTAAAATGCCTTTGGGATCGATCGGCGATGTTTGTACTTTCAGTTCCCATATGTCAGTGAAAAGTGACATACCAAGTCTTCACCCAAGGCAATCTGAAATGTGTAAACCATTCAAGTCTCCAGACTGGTTTCTAAAACAAGAATGCGAACAGACCACTCATATGAGGGTCAGAAATGGGCTTGGCCCTTTTACAGTATTATACATCTCCAGTGAGGCACTTACATTTTTTGTTAGGTTCTTTCTAGGTCAAAAGTCTACATATGAAATTCTGGGAAAGATTTTCAGAAGCACTTGGCAATGGCATAACACTGCTCCTTTTGAGGTAAATGGTAAACTCATGTTTGTTTCAGTGGGAGCAGAGTTAAGACAATGCAAAGTGCTTTATTAATGTTAATTATGATTGTGGTTAGCCAGGGTGCTGGGCAAACATAGACAACACATGGTTCCTAATTCAAAGAGCTCTCACTTCATTGGTTTTGTACTTCTATAGTCAATCTGAAAATATAAGGATTAATGCTGGATTTTCAACAGGCATCCAAAGATTTATATGCCCAAATCCCATCAGCCAATTCTTTTAGGTTCCTTTGAAAACCCCAGCCTAAGGAAGTGTGGGAGCAAGGGTGGAAACCTCAGATTTGTATGTGCATGTTGGTTTTGTTTAAAAACCCCTGTCACCTGCCATTCTTCAGAAATAGCCACCAGCTGTTCCCAGGCTGATATTACTATATCTGTGGGAGGTCTTTCTCATGAGAAAAAAAAAATCTTTGCCAGGGTGTAAAATAATGGAGCTCAGTGAAACTGGAAACTCCCCTTGCTAGTCAGCACATTATCTAAGTATTTTATCACAATTTATTGAAGCAGTTTTCACCTGCTCTTGTAAACAAAATGAAGAAAGCCAATGAACTTGAAGGGAATTGTACTACTTAGACACACAAAATTTTCTTCTGTGTTTAATTAGTCGCATCTCGCCATTGAAACTATGGCAAGATATTTGTTTTTCACAGCATGATGGTTGTTTGTGGGCCATGCAGATTTGGGATGTGTGTCTTAAGCAACAGGCTGTGGTGTTTGTTCTGGAAGCTTCTTTCATGTGGATCTCCCATTGAAGTAAATGGAAAACAGAGGTGGGATTCTCCATAACATTCAGGTTCGGCTGAACTGCTCTATTGAAGTCAAACTGTCACTGACCCCAGTGAAAGTAGATTTAGGTCAATACTAAGTGCTTTTGAAAGAGCCATCGTGTGAGCATACAAGGCTCGCAGGATTGTGCCCTGTCTGTATTGTTCATAAGGGTGATCCCACTGACATGACAGGAACCTTCTGTTTGGTTCACTTCTCTGTCCATGCTGGCTGTTAATTCTAAAGTGCTCTAATTTAAAGTGTACACTGTGCTGCCACAAAGAAATCTTTCTGTTTAGGAACCATTTTGTCTATGCATAGCATATATGTTTTTCTATTTATTACTAGGAACATTTTCACGGAAACAAATGTTCTAGCCCATCTGCTTCTGCTGGCCTCACTAAAATCACAATCCTCTGTTTATGACCTCATAAGTACTTCCACAGCAACCATTAGTGAGGCAACTAAGGATTATGGGTTTGGACCGTGAGCAAACAGCAGGACCTGCTCCAGGACTTGCTTGCTTCTCTAAAGGGCTGAGAACCCTCAACTGCCAAAGAGTTGTGGGAGGAAGTCAGGCCCCAGGTCATAAGAAGCAAAGAACTCTTTCTGAGGTAAAAATGAGGTTATAAAAATACAAAAATTGTTCCATTTATAAAAACTCTCTCAAATCAAAACAGTTTTCCCAGCATTTTCCATCAGATATTAGTTGACTCATAGGGTACGTCTAGACTACACCTCTCTGTCGACAGAGAGATGTAGATTAGGCACCTCAAAATTGCTAATGAAGCAGGTATTTAAATATCCCATGCTTCATTAGCATAAACATGGCCACCACTTTTTTCAAAACAGAGCTTTCAAAAAAAAAAAAGCTAGTCTAGATGCAGATCTGTCAAAAATAAAACCTTTTTCGACAGATCCTGTATTCCTCAAAAAATAAGGTTTACACGATCTGTTGAAAAAGGGTTTATTTTTGATAGATCCACGTCTAGATTGCTAGTTTTTTGAAAAAGCTCCATTTCGAAAAAAGCGGCAGCCATGTTTATGCTAATGAAGCATGGGATATTTAAATACCTGCTTCATTAGCAATTTTGAGGTGCCTAATCTACATCTCTCTGTCGACAGAGAGGTGTAGTCTAGACGTACCCTCAAGTATTGCGTAAATATATTGCTAAATTTCTATTCCATGGTCATAAGGTGCAGTAGTTTAGAAGCACTCCTCCTTGAAACTTGTGCAAAATCATGTGAAATTCTCCTACAGTAAAGTTTTCAATCGGTGTCTGATGAGGCTTAGGCTCTTAAATCACTTTGGGAATTGGGGAAAGTGTTACTTTAGGTTTTTTGTTTGCTAACAAACTCAAACCTCAGATCAGATTCCTTGAAATGTTTTCTAGCATTCATGAATCATAGAAGCGGCTGCACTGCTTATCTGATGAACTCAGGACCACTGTAGCATTGGAGCCTGAAGATGAGGTTCAGAAGAGCTTCACTAGAACTGGGGCTTCATTTAGTGTAACAGAGGAAGACATAGGCCTTGTCTCCACTAAGTGGTGGGTCGATGCTGCAGCAATTGATCCATCGGACACTGACTTATGTCTCCTGTAGATGTGATAAATCTATCTCTGAGAGCACTCCTGTTAAAGGTGGTACTTCAATATAAGAAGAGTAGCCAGCATCGATCGGAAGGCAGCCCCCACCAACCCTACTACACACAAGACACCACAGTAAGTACGTCGACTTTAGTTATGCTATTTGCTTGGCTGAAGTAGATCGATAGTGCAGGTAAGTGTAGACACGGCCAAAGCCTACATTCTGTTAAAGCAAAGTCTGGTTACTCATCTTTCAGACAAACAGGATTCTGAGGGACTAAAATCGCATTGCTCTGGGCCACTCAGTCAACCAGAATAATCCACAGCAACTATGTCTGATTTAGTAAAAAAATCCATTTTTTGTTTCACTTTAGAAAACCTTAACATCTTGCAGCCCAACATATATTTAAGTGCTATCAGTGCACCATGAAAGGTTGAGTACTAAAGCTGTACTTTTCATTTCCTGTATTGCTTTAAAGGACATAGTAAAAGACTAGAAGGGGCCACTGTGATCATCCAATCTGACCTCCTGGATAGCGCAGGGCAGAGAACTTCCCCAAAATATTTGCTTGGGCAGATCATTTGGATCTTGATTTAAAATTTGTCAGTGATGAATCCATCACAATCCTTGGAAATTGTTCCAGTGTTCATTTCTCTGACTGTGAAAAATGTATGCCTTATTTCCCATCTGAATTTGTCTAGCTTCAGGGTTTGACTCACACACCAGAGTTGTCATTATGTACCCCCCCCCCCCAAAAAAATTGTTTGCACAATATTCTGAAACTTCTTTACAACTTTTCTTCAAATTCATTTTTCAGGCTTTGATTCAGTGAAAGATTTAAGTACATGTGTCGTCCCAGTGTAGACTTTGCTAGCTTCGGGGCCACAGCTATCAATAGTGATAGGTGGACAGTACAGCGTAACTACCTACGTCTGTAATAAAGCGCTGTTTGATTGCACATTTTATTGCAGCTTTTAAGGCTTTTCAAACTTTGACTCATTTCTGATCGTTGGACCCTAGCTCATATTTATGCCATTCATTGTGCAAATCACACTCCACCTTTGATTTATATCTCTTACATTCATTTTCCACCTCTCCCTCTTGCCTTTCCTCCAATATTGTATATTTTCTCATTGGGAGCCGTTCTGGTGGAATTTTTGACCATGTCACATCCATGCCTCTGATCCCATCCAATCCCATCTGAGCTTTTAAAAACTAGCCACAAACCACACTTGCTTGCTAACCACTTTTTAGTGTCTTTTATTGCTCTGCCCATTTTTGTTCTTTATTTGCTGTAGCTCAGTTTTCATACTATCTGATTCATTTGGCATATAGCCCCTCATTAGAGACATAAGTACCATATAAGTACCATATAAACCAATGAATAAAGGAAGTGAACCAATAATAATATAAAAGAAGTAAAGTTTACATTTCACCTTGTTTTTCTAAGCATCAGAACATGAAGTCTCTGTGGACTGTCATACATTCCATAAAGCATTATAAAACCTCTAATTACTTACTTGGTAAAATTAAACTCCAGCCTAAGGGGGTGGCCTCACAGGACTTTATGGCATGGTTGTCTTTTGTTTGCCCATCTTTTACTCTTAAACAGTGTATTGTAAATCAATTTCTATTATAATTCACATAAAACAATACTTTTGTTCAATAAAATTTATGCTATGGAGATATCAAATGGCAATACACTTGTCAGGTTAATTATTGGTGTGAGCCCTGTAGGATATGTGTGTATCATAAATTACTCTCTGTGATGATATAGCTGTTGTTGTTAGCAGTAAACTTTATATTTTTGCTAGGATGAGAAGCCTGTAAGCCTTAAAGTGATCCCTGAACCTTATTTAATGGCACAAAACACAACGGGAAAAAGGGGGTTGAACTTTAATGCCTGCAGTGGGGAAAGTAATAATATTCCACATCTCTTCTGTAAGTGACTTGCGCTATGTGATGAATGCAGAACCTTCACTAGCAAGGTTTTCCTGATATTATACTCTTGTAGCAAATAAGGTTAGAACCTTTAAAATATAGCATTTAGTAACGTGCTGGAAATAGCTTCTTCTCGATTCTTTTAAAGGTCACTGCGTTTGCTTTTCAGTCGTAATTTCAGTTCAGACCTCCACAGAGTGGAACTGAGAACATGCCAACCAATGTACTATCAGTTTCCCAAGTCTGAAATAAAATGTCATGGGATGATCATCTGTACTGGGTATGTGTTTTGTGTGGTTTGTGTGTGTGTACATGTACTAAGAAATCTACATTAATCTGTTATTTTAGAGAAAAAATTAAATATTTCATCAATGGGGAAAAAAATCAAGAAAATAATCACTTAAATTATTTAATGTCTCATCTGAACTTCACTCATCAGTTCATCTTGCCAGTCATATGTGTCTTGCTTCTACCACCCAGAGCCCACATCCTAGATAATCACAGCACATCCTTGTTTACTGATTAGATGTTCACATATTTTGGTTACTATTAGAGGGCTGGCATATCTATAAGAACAGCAAAGATCTTGGTGGGGATAGGAATGTACTGGTGAGTGTAAGAGAGATTTGGTGTTAGATTGCAAACGGTAGCAGCAAGTCATCTTTTTTTTTTGTTGTGTTCAGAAAACATGACTGGAAGGGCTAAGTTTGTAATAACTATTCTAGGTTTGGTCCTTTTTTTATGAACTCTGTGTGTGTGTCTGTGTGTGTGTGTCTGTGTGATATGAAAGGTTGGGATTCAGGCTCCATGTTGCTTGTTCAGTCTGGTAGTGGAGATATGTGGATGTATGGCAGAAAAGTGGTGTTTAATCTGGGAGGGTTTTGAGGCAGGAGAAACAAAGGGTGGGTCATAATTAGGACACTGAATTAGGATTCGTTCTAATCGTGGCTTTGCCACAGGCTCACTGTGTGTACTGGTGTAAATCACCCTTTGTTCCACCACTCCTCTCCTTTAGCAAGGAGATAATAATCCTTCCTTGTCGCTGTTCTGTCTGCTTAGATTGTAAACTCTGCAGAGCAGGGATTGTCCCTCATTTCACATTGATGGTATTGCACAAGGTGCGACTTGGAGCAAAAACACGGTATCATTTTAAGAAGACATGTTTAGTGTGTTTATATGGGCCAGGTTAGTAGTGGGCTGGTGCCTGCATCAGCATGAAAGACAGAAAATTTCAGTTGAGGAGGCCTCTGGGTGCTACTGTAATACAAATAAATAAACAAAAACAGCAACCAGAGAGGAGCATAACTGGACACAAGGACAGAGAGACTGTGTGTGGGCACCACATCTAGCCATACATCAAGTACCAACACACCTAGCTTTGAAAGTCCAGCCTTTCCCCTCTCCCCCAAAAAAAGTTTGTGGGGAAGGAGAAGAGAGGTCAGGCATGGACTGAGCAGCAGAATGTGTGGGGAAAATGTTGTAATTGATCTCACACTTAAAAAAGGAGGGCAAGCACATAAAATCACATGAATAACTGAGCTATTTTTAAGGCTTTGTCTCATCCAGGTGCTGATGTTGCTCTCTTAGGTCCTGACTGAGCAAGCAGGTGCTATGCTGAATTGAGGCTGGGCATTTAATGTTTTTTTTCCCTGGGGACTTAATTTTTAAAGGTCCTCACAGGCGTATAAAACCAAAAGTCAGATGGGATTCCTGCAGAGATTTATTCTCTGTTTACGTTTATGAGCAATGATGATCTGTATATGGGAAGTGGAAAGGTCAGCTATCTTCATTTATATCAGATAGGCATTTCTCTTTGGCTAATCAAGATTTACAAACACCTTTCCAGTGATTTACCCACAATAATGTCACTTGTGGGTTTTTTTACTCCCCAGAGTAAAGGTGACTTGTTATTTTTCCAAGGTGGGGAGTAAGGATGGAGATTGCCAGTCACTAGTCGTTCAAGTCTTTCTGAAAGTAGAACTGAGCCAAAGAGTCCAACTTCTAACTGTTCAAAAATTACATGGAATTTCACCACATATTCTCCACTGACTACAGTAATTCCCTTCAGGTAAATCTTACATTCCTCTGAAAATGAAGAGGTAAGAGTCTCATTTCAGCTCCTTTCCTCAGATATCCTCTACAATGGAAAAGCAGCTGCTTTTCAAAGCCATGTTCAAATATTTGAACCAGCATGGCTGCAAGTGTATTTCTGACACAGGTTAGATATCAAATATGAATGGAGCCAAATCTGTGTCAGGATCTCTAACCTGTTTGACTCCAGAGCCTTGACAAACTATCATGGTTTATCATCTGCAGTGACAGAACAAACCTGGTAAGAATGTGGTTCAGCCACAGCCAAACTCCATACCTTGTTTTGAGTTGGTTTTCAAATATGGCATTCAAGATGAGGTTGCAGTTTCACTTGTATTCACTGGAGCAAGCCCAGAAATCCATAGAGACATTTATATTTACTGTTCCTCATTGTCTGCTCTTTCCCCATACACTTTCCTGGGTGTCTTTTTTCAGATAGCTTTGTAAAGTGTGGTGTTTACAAAGAATGGATCTATCAGTCTCAGATTGATTACTTCTCTGCGTACACAAGTCTGGCCACATAACTAATTTCACATACTGGAATTAGTTCTGTGTTGTCTGAAACTACAATGGATATGCTTTCTGCTTACAAGGACCATTGAAAAATTGACCCTGTACCTCTACATAAGCTGGATTCTTTCCCTCTCCACCCATAAAGGACTTGTAAATAGGCCAATCTTACCATTACTTCAAAGGTGATTGTAAGGCTGTCATGGGTCTCTCCCCACCTGGGAGACCATGGCACCTTGTAATGATCCTTCTGGAAGCAACTTGGTCGGGGGGGGGGAGGGAAGATTAACTATATGTCTGTTGGCTCTATCTGAGGCCAGGCCAGACTGCAGGGAGCCTATAAGCCCCAGACCTGTAGGCAGGGCCAGCTGGTCACCCATTATTCCTTCTCTTCCCTCCCCCCCTTACACACAGACTCAGGGCAACAATTAGATTATCTGCCCCAGAGCCTGCAATCCAGGCTGGGCATCCAACAGTTAATGGTCCTAGCTGGCAATCAGTTAAAACCACAATTAGTCATCTGAAGAAGTGAGTTGCACCTGTAAAAGCTCATGATACCATCTACATGTTTTGTTAGTCTTTAAGGTGCTAC